GCGGACAAGGAGTGAAAGGCGTGTGTTCATACGCTGACCTAGGTTGTGTTCGATCAACACATGTGGGGCGACGCACCTAACTTCCAAGTTGTTGAATTTTTCCATTTGGTTGTGCGAGCACTTGGAAATAGGTGTTTGAGTTACTCTCAACTGAGCGGCAAGCTCCTTTTGCGTTTGCGCTAAGTCTTAATTCAGTAGAGATAGTAAATCCGCGTCTTCAAACTATCGAGGCTGCTGTCCGGAAACGTTTTTACTGATAATTACATGTTTCGTAAGGCACAATGTCGGCGTCACCAAGAACATTTGGCATCGTAATTCATTCTGGTATTCTGAGAGATTGTGTAACTCGCGAAGACTTGTTGTTCCGTGTTCTGAAAACTTGTGTCCAATGCTTTCAAAACCACGAAATCTGTAAAAACTAATTCGTACACCTAATATATTTTGATCTATCTTCGTGCCCACAGGGTTATTTGTCACTTTCGTCATCATTTGTCTTGGCGTAATTCACGGTTTCTCTCAAGGCATCGGCGTGTTCCCTCGCCAGTCGGCTTCCCAATTGCTGATCGGTGTGTGTAGCCTGATATTTTCTGCCACAGGGCTAGTCTTCTCGTCCGCATTACGTCAATCAGCCGTGTTTGTGGTAAAACCTAAATCACTCACGTGCCTAACCCTGACCTCTCATCCACTCTGCCCTCTACCGAGGTAGGAATGCTTTCCGTTCGACAATACCGCTACTGATCTCTTCCATTTGACTCCGATTATCCGTCGTCTTGCCCAATTGTGCGCCCCGAATCCTTACGGCAAATTCTGCCTTTTTTTGATTCGCGAATACACTCCAGAAGGGGGTACAATTGTCGCCCTCCACATACTTTCAGAAGCTTTTCGCTTGTTTGTTATTTGCCTCACGCGCTGACGCTAGCTTGTCTGTTTTTATCGAGCACAAAGCACACTTTTTGTAAGCCGATCCGGCGTACTTTAAAAGTGCACTTTTAAGTCTAGTCAAGCTCGGCAAATCGGCGCCCTCATGTTTGTTTAAATGATTTACGGTGTGTCGACCGTTTCACGTTGGTTGGTCATCACGATGACGTGGCCGTACTTTTATTGCACACTCTGAAGGCCTGTGAATTTCGTAAAAGTAACTTGCTACCGCTAACTGCCGCGGTTCTCCTTGAATCGACCGTCTCTGTTCGTTGTTTATGCTATAAACGTGGGCTGTGATTTGGCCGCTTGTCGCACGCCGCAAATGCGAAAACATACAGCGCCTTTTGTCCGGCTGGCTCGCTTCGAAGGCGAAGGAGGGGGGGCAGGGGAAATCGATAAGCGGCACTGAGGCCGGATTCCGATCGATAATGGAGCACTCTTGCACTTTGTCGTGTGCACTTTGTTACAATGAGGGAATCTTTGTACTGCTGCCTGCGTGTTTCCCCTACGCCCCACACAAACACCAATAATGCATGTTCAGGCGAGCGTGTAGGCGAACATTCTGCAGATTCCTTACGAATAGCCTATTCCACCGTGCCGACTCGTAGCTTGCGTTGCTGCCTGCCGCGAGGCTGCCTGTTTGGCAATACTGTGGCACTTGGGCGCTCTCGACCGGCTCAGTGAGTCACCCCTGGGTTGCGAGTGCCTGCCTGAGCGCTCAGTGGGTTCAGTGCGCGTGCGCGCGTGCAGTCACCGGCGTGCATAAGCCCGGCCAGTGCAACGAAATTACGACACTGGCGGGTGGTCGTGGTTTCGCGGTTGCTGCTGCCGCTTCCCAGTTGCCTTCAGCGTAAACCCTGACTTCTCAATCGGCTTCTCCACGTACACGCGCCCCACACCCACTCCCCAGTGGTATATCAGATCGATGTTGTCGCAACCAAAGCGTTTGATGTTATTTTTTCTCTGGAAAAAGCGGCAAACTTCGCTCGGCAAAGTGCACGCCCACCCATTTTGTCGTTTACAATGCCGACACTTAACCATTAGGCTGGCAGCATGTGAAAATGTTGCCCGCGGTAGATCCAATTTGCCGCCCACAGCCGGATCTGCTTCCATGTTGGCGACGTGAAATGCCACCTAGAAAAATTAAACGTGGATTTGTGTGTCCGCTGTTTTAAAATTTTGCGCGGCCAGGCAGATTGTTAGGTGGACGCTGTCACCTCGCAGCCGTCAAAAGTACAGCCATTCTTTGTAGTTTTGACAGTGAACTTGACGAGGTGACTGTGGTGTCCTGGCGGTGTCCTTTTAAGGTCATGCGACACCCGAGGTCAAATTCAGACCACCGTCGTTTCAGGGGTGTGATGCTTCATTTTTCCTATACCGCTTCACATTACTGTCGGATTCTCTCTTCTATTCAAATTTAACCTTAAAACCTATTAGTAGTCGGCAGGTCAGTGGGGTGGTGATGACAAACAATAAAAATGCGACAAAGTAAAGTGCTCAGCATGAATCATGTTGATTCACACCCATCGTCCCTGTCTTGGCATGTCTAGACACCTTGGCAATTCGCTCCCTCAATTACTGTTCCCCCGTTTCTTCAGCTCGCCCTCTTCCCTGCGTCCCCATTGGCTGGACAAACATGGCTGAGCACGTACCCGTATGTACGTGATCCCTAGTGTACGCGTCTCCTATGCACACGGCAGCATAACTGAAGTCGACGGTTTGAGAGCCACGTCTAAGGCTTCCACAACTGGCGATCCCTAGTTGATCATCTGGCTGTTATTTTTTTACTTTGACTTAGGGAAAAGTTGCACTGGTCTTGCTCAGACGTTTCAGAAATTAGCATTTTATCTGCTGTCTGTAACCTCATGTATTCGTAATTTGCGCGTGGTAGCCCGAATCGATGCACTGGCCAATTTTGTTGCAAGCTAATTCCTTGGGAGTGCAAGATACTCATTACCAGTGTGCTTACAGTGCTCTCAGGCACTTGACCAAACAGCCGAAATGCACGCACACACACACACACACGGCTGGCACGATCTGTTAACCCACTGGATCCCCATCAACTTGATTCCCTCGCAACATCACACACTTCCTTTCACATCCCCTTTAAAAAGTATCCTGCCCCAACTCAGCGACGAAGTGTCAGTGTGTGCTGATTTGTCAGCGATGAGTTCGTCTTTCGGCAGACGCTTTGTAGGGTTTGTGGGACAGTGCTACCACTTAATTGGCCCCCCGAATCTACTAAGTCACCTATTTTGTACGCGAAAGATCTCAAAGGTAGATTCAACCGCACAGACGACATGTTGAAGCTGAGTTATCACGTCGAGGCCACTAGTTGTTGAAGCCTTCCAGTCTGTGTGGTTGTGGAATCCACGCCACGTCCGCCTACTTGTTGAGGCCAAGGCGTTCCAGAGACAGCGGAGATGACTCAACTCAGGTGTATGCAGTGTCCGCGCACACACAAGGTCTTGTGTGCTTATGAGTCACAGGCGTACACTGAGTGGGGGAGGTGCCAGACGTGTCCGCGTAAACAATGTGGATACTGATGAGAAGGGGGTTAGGCTGGACAGACGTCCGGTGTATTGAAAGGGGTGAAGTACTACGGTGTCTAGACAGGCCGAGACGGCGGTGACGCGCGTGAATTAACGAAATCCACCACGTCCGATTTCTGTCGCCTTATTAACATTAGCAAGGACATCAAGGCTACAGCACAGTTTGCTGGTGACTTCTGAAAGCACCTGACAGGTGCACACACTGAAGTGGCTTTCTGCTGCCACTAGAGAACGTTACTTGGCTTGTTCTTTTGTCTTGTCTGGTGGTCTGGTTTAGCTTATCACGCATTACATTGAATCGAGGTTGGCGAAAACCCGAATCGACGTACCGGCGATTTTTAAATGAAGCGGGAGCGTTGCATCACATTCGGTCTGTGTTGCAGAGGCTTTCGTATGCTTCTTGCGCAATACGTGATAGTTGCGAAAATGATAAACACTGAACAACGAGTGGTTTGCTTCTCTAGATGCACACAGCCAATCAGGTGAGCTCTTTACCCGCTTCTAATGTAATCATTGGTTGTTTCGGATACGGCATTGATTGACTCGTATTCGGCGTGATTAGGCAAACCGTTGCAACAGGCAATAACTTGCCAGCAATATGGCTTAATGGGAGAGTTAATAATGAGTCGGTGCTGGCAGTCACTTCCTTGTGGTCGTCTTTGCCGTGGCAATGCTCATGCTCGACGTAACTACGCGTCTTTCGCCAGTCCTTTCTGTAGGAGTCAGTCTGGGTTCGATTTTCAGGGAATGTGGCTCTCTGCTGTTGGTGCGGAGCCACTGAAGGTCACAACTGCGCCGTTTTCGCGACACCCGAGTCTCCGCGCCCTCTGACACGAAAGGGGAGAGGGTGAGTGTGGGCCAGTGATGTCAGTACATCTGCGGAAGTGACGTTTGCTGTCGCTCCGAACCTATTAAGAGCGGTAGGCTGTCTGGGATTCGTACTGCCGCCGAGCTTTGACGTGGCCGCTTACTCACTTGCTACTACCACCACCACCTCTGTCTCACCTGGTCGCACACATACACACTCAAATCGTCGTGCGCCTGGCCTGTACACACTCATTTATTTACACCCACCCACCCCATGAGTCATTAGTCGGAGTGCCGATGAGACAAGGGTAGTAGTGTGAGTCATGACCGGGTGATGGGGCCGTGGAGACCGGTAACTGCCTCCTGTCTGCCGCGCGAAGACTTTACCAAAATATAACCTCAATTGTCGCACCCCCCTAACATCCACCTACACTGCTTACTCTGGGGGTTGGACAGTCCTCTGTGTGTGAAGTGCGCCCAACTTCCGTTAATCGCGATTGATTCATGCAATGTAAAACTGTCCATCTTCTGTCACGTTACCCAAACGGACAACAGCAGGGACGACTATCTCGTGCACGCACCAGGAAGGCGCTTGGTAGACGCCCAATGCAAGAGCCGGACACACCAAGCGTTGTAGCAGGACTAACCGCGATTACCAGCACTGATTGCGAGTTAAACGTCCAACCGGAAACGTAACCGTAAAGTGGAGCGTTCGCTTGTGTGTGCTGTCACACGGCTCGTTGGTGAATTCATCAACTCATCAAACAAACTTGTTTCCACTGTTATCGACCTGCGACTGATTGTTTCGTTCAAGCCCCTTTCATACTTTGACGTCTTCTCACGACATCGACTATCCTAGGTTCAAGTCAACTAACAGCATCAAAACCATTAAGGGTTACGATAGTTGGATGTGCATGGGCTTCGCCTTGACCCCTTGTATCATTTCCGTTCAAAAGTAAGTTATTCCGATGGATGATTTCTTCAGGTTCCTAAACACCTCTTTATTGCTAAATGTTCCTGCGAAATCAGTACAAGTGGCTTATGAGGCACTTCACAAACTCGAGCATCTCCGTTTGTTCTTTTCTGCTGTGTGTTCAAAATTGCCTCAAGGTACTTGATTGATTTCAAATTGACTTTTTTTTCACATCCAAGCAGTCAGTTGTTGAAGTCCCGCGGATTATTTTATCAAACTCCACCTTTTTGTCCGTTACGCGTTCGTGTTTTTCTGGAAGCCCTCCAGCAGCACATCTCCGATGCCTGGACGTGTGCACACACGTCTGAATGGTGGTAGGTGGTGTCAACACGGTGCCGTCCATGATTAAGATGCTCTAATTAAAAGACGACCAGTTTACTCACCCTTGCCTCCTGGTTGCAGCATCGCTGCTTTAACCACCACCACCACCGTAGGACGGTTCATTTGAAATGGCCCTGGTCAAGCAGTATCTATTCGCTTTGCGATTTCTGATTACTACTTATTTTCATCGTAGGTAGTCGATCAGATTAGCCATTGTTCTTGAGTAATAACTTTATTGCTATTGTCAGTTATACGCGCAGCAAGCACTGACCACCAAAAGCAATCCATCACGGTAGACTTGAGTAGCGCCATCTACTGTTGTGTAACGCGCCTAGCGAGCGGGGACCTAAATGGGTAGATGACTGTTAGTCCGTCCCTCTTAGGTAGCCACACCATCATGGCTAGCTACCGGGCACACGATAGAAGAATAACTGGAAGAACCGGATGTATTCCATACTACTGCATACAAACTCAGAGGGCTAGAGCTTTGGGAGAGTTAAAGCAGGGGAAGGAGATGGCCGCGAGGAGAGTCGGCGTTGCCTTCGGACCCACAGGCGTGCCTTGAGGAAGGCGAGATTGCGAGAGTGAAGAGGAGGACAAAGAATAAACCAGACCGGCGTGCGTGGGTCAGATGGCGCGCGTTACAGTTGGAGATTTTGAATAGTGTTCCAACAAAACCAGTATGGTAAAACAAAGGGTTATGCGGGTTTAACACGACAAATGTTACGCCTGGACTTATGCAACAATCAAACGAATCCTGAAGATTTCGTCATTTATACCCTCCCATTAGTATTGCTGATTTCCTAATAGTCCTCGAACATCAACGAAATTATTCATATCTTTTTTGCTGCTTACAACGCCGTCTGGTCCCCTCGATCCCTCCGGTTGCAGAGAGAGAGAGAGAGAGATAACTGTCGGTAATTGGTATACCGACGCGATGTGCTCAGAGTGATTTTCAACCGCTCCTACTAGACATGAGCGAACTGTTTTTGAGTTCAGTTATTTGATTTTCCAGCAAATCCTAGCTTGCTAACTTCTTTTGAGTAGACTGAATGTCAGTCGTACGCAGCACTTAAGCATTGGCGCACTCGCCATGGCTGCTATCTTTTGGTCAATCCCTCTCGGACATTACGAGCGAAAGCCAACAACCGATTCCAGCCCTGTGATATATTTTGTTGCTTGTTAATTCCGAACGTTGATACTCCCCCCCTTTGGGATATTCTACCGAAATTGGATTCAACTGCACAAGTCATGAGGCTGCAAACCTTCCTCATTTTGTTCCCGTGTCTGCTACATTTTGGCCATGCATTTACGACACATAGTAGTTACTTTCTCTTAAGCTGTTTTACCCATCTTACCGTGTGACACATCAGTCCAACTGCCAAACTTGCATTTTTGCGCAGACAACTTGAATTCCTCGGACTTGCCATGAGTTTTCACCAAGGCATTCTAAGGATAAATTCACAGGACTCGATTGTTTCGGACTGTGGCGGCCAGTTTGCTAGCTCTTGTGTTATCATAACCGATGGAGTCATCGCGCCAAAGATTGGCGGATCTACAAGTGTAGAATGAGGCATGAATTCACATAGACAACGAAAGTGGGCAGCAGTTGTACCTGTGTGAGTCCAATCCTGGCCGACGGGCCAATCACGAGCAGGGGTCCATTCTCCTAATGTGTTTTATGCCCGGGTGTTGAAATCTGGTATTATTCCTTCCGCCAACGGCCAAGACCTGCTACCCGTGGGTGCCGCTTGTCTTTTTTAAGGCGTTTTTGTTGTAACGCATGAAACGTAATCCAGGCGCCTTCCTTCACCTAAAAAGCGCGTTCTGTCGAGAGGAAAGAAACAGCGTTGGTCTCTTTCTGGCCCGACGTATTGTTTTGCTGGGCCGGTTGAGGCGCCTGAATTGAGGTCGCCCGGGAAGTTTGTGTGATGTAGGCTTTAGTCGCCTCCTTGTCATTCAAGGTGACTCATGTGCGCACGCATTTTTGTGTGTGCGCGCGCATGTGCACCGACTTGTCGTCCGGCTCCCATGGTGATGTCATCACCGAGTGTGAGTCATCACCTTGTGGTAAGGTCTCCTTCCTAGGGGCTTAATACTCGATCCTAAGGTTATATGCGTCTGGGAAATCTGGGAATCAGCGCTTTACCGGACCAATCGAAACGCCCGATTGGAACCGTCCGCTACTTTTCTTAAACGGTTACAATCGATTATCAAATGTGGTGTATCAGTGGGGATTAAATGCCCCAAAGCATAAGACCGATCATTACAATCAACACTCGCAAACATATGGTGTCTTTGTGAGGAGAACCGTCATCCTTTTGTCCTATTGTTTAGCTAGGTGAACACGGCTAATCAGGTGATTAGTTTACTTGTTTCGAGTGTAATCATTGGTTACCATAACTATGACGTTGCCTCGTATCTGCGTTTCACGTGGCGCGGTTACGCGAACCGTCGCCGGAGGCGGTGGGCTGTTAAACGATCTCCAATTTAACGGATATAATTATCCGACTCCAACGATAGGGTTTTTGCCGCTGTAAGTGGATTATCACAACGAGTTGATTTTTTCTTCATTTTAGTGGATTTCTTCCGCAGTTGACAAAATCCTTCGCCGAAGCGGCTGGGGCCCCCACCGAGACCACAGCCGCCGTATCGACCACAGTTCAGCCCAATGTGATCCCACAAAACAGTTTTATCATTTCCAGCGGTCCAACGGACAGCTCAAACAACCAAAACTACATTCTAATCTCGCCAATAGGCACTGCCGCCGCGGCCGTCTCATCATCAATCACCGCTCCTCTTGTTAGCTCGCCTACCGTTGTCCTTCCGAGCAGCACTGCTGCCGCCGCCGCTGCTGCTGCCGCTGCGACCTCCAGAAACATCCTTCTTCTCAACGACTCAGTTGCGAAGACGAGTGCTTCGAGCGACGCGAAAGAACTGGATCACCACCAGGACCTCGTGTCGTCTTCCACCGCTGGTCTGCAGGAAAACTCGCTCCTTGACAGCGACAGCAATCGTCCGACGCGCCCATCCTCCTCCGACTCCTCTCTCCTCAGCGGGGCTCCGCCCATGGGTCGAAGGCGCTATTCGGGCCTCTCGTCTCGACCGGTGACCGTCGGCGAGTCTTTAACGTCGCAGTTGAACCGGCTCGAGCAGAAGCGCGCGAGGAACCGGGACGCGGCGCGCCGGTGCAGGGAGCGGAAAATCCGACTGATCGAAACTCTGGAGAAGAAGGTGTCGCAGCTCACGGAGACGAATAAGCAGTTGAAGCGGGAGCTGGAGCAGACGCAGAATGAGGTGGAGTGTCTGCGGCAGTTCGTGGAGCAGCATTTCAAGTCTCCGGCTGCCGGTGGTTGCACCGTCCCACTAAAGGGCTGACCAGCCTCCCTCCAACCCATGCTATTCTTGCGTGTGCATTTAGAACATCATCATCATGGCGTCTTTTGCGCACTCACCCTCCGTGCTACTTTACTTTAGACACGTAATCATTTTCACTGTGTGACTTCTGTGACTAGGATTTTGCCTGATTATGGCTGCGCTATATGATCTTTACAAAGCCGTCTATCTGTGTGCTTTCTTTTCTGGCATTCGGGATTCGAACTACGGGTCGTTTGTTACCCCCATGAAGAAACGAACCGGTAGCAGGGTTATTAGCAAAATTGCTTCCAGTTTTGTTGTATTCAAGCGTGAAACATGGTGGAGGACTCAGTTACAAGGACACGAAATAACACAGGAGGTGGGGAAAGTGGTCCAAAAGACTGGGGAATTAGTGCGAGCGAGTGTCTGTCCGGTGCCACAGCCTGCTGCCGTCGTGGAGGGAAGGACGGAAGTCGGAGTGGGTGAAGGCGCTCAGCGCCTCCTCGAGACTGGCGCTGGAGGACACGCCGCGTGTGACATCCACCAGCTCGTAACTTGATTTGGCGTCGGCCTTGTGACTCTAGACAGGAGGTAAGCAGGCGTTAGGCAAGGCAGTTCTGTTTACAAAGCGACCTCAAGACATTCTAAAGCCGCTAGTGATGCTTCGGTTGCCTGGTTCCGATTAAGCAGACACCAATTGGCTTTGATGACTTGGGCGTAAACTACCGAGGGGGACATAGAAGTACACCCGAGGTGAGTTAGCTGTAGAAGGGTTAAACTAGGTACCTTGGCAATAAGGATCCAGGGTACACCGAGCTGACGAAGGTCAACCAACTTCCGTCCAAGGCTCAGGCGTGGTCGGTCATCGATCAGAATGTCACCGCGCGGAAGAAGCCCCGAGAAGAAACTCGACGTCGACGGATTAGCCGGCGGTGATTCGTTGAAACGAGCCAGTAGTAGGCTTAACTCGTCCGGCGATAGTGCATCCTTGGCGTTGTCCTGAACAAGCAAAAAATTAGCACCGCTACTTAAACGTGGGAAGTACCATGTCTTGGGGAAACAACCTTTTGTAGGGCAATGGCACCACTGAATGGCGCGAACCCAGGGGGCCACCGAAGTTCACTGGGCGGGGTCTCATTAGTTAGGGTAGTGGTGAAGTGCTCCAATGCCGTAGCCAGGAGACGCGTGACCCCAATGCCATAGCAACCCATCTGCAGAGTCCTGACTATGTAAGTAAGACAGAGCAACGTACTTGTATCCACCTTGCGTGCTTGCCCTCACATTAAAGGAGGATGTGTAGGTGTTACCAAGAAGAAAACAGTGCGCTACCTAAAAAACACATACACACACACACACTTCCAGTGAAATATCATTTCAAAAATCGATCAGGTAGAACGCAAGTTCTGCAACTTCGGCTGTGGTTGCAATCAACGGCAGCAGAAAGGATTGTCTTGGACTCAAACTTGGAAAAAGATGGAGGATCGGGTCTCGAATGAGGATAAGGGGAGAGCACGTCAACACTGAAGCTCCTGATTGATTACACATTAATTCGAAACGCGTCCCAGGAAAGCTCACCTCGACTGATTTGATGAGTTGGCGATCAGATCCGCATTGCGGACACGTCATAGAACCTACTGGAAGGTCAAGGAATCCAACACCACATTACCGGAGTGCGTAGCGAGAACAGCCTTTTTGCAGCTGAAATTAGGAGGCGCAAATTTTACTCACAAATCGGAGGCTTCAAGAACCACTGCTGTTTTCGCCGAACTCCCTAAGGCGGTAATGTGACTAGCATTTAAAGAAAAAATGAGCATGAGGCAGCCACCTTCAGGTTTTCGGCATTGTCAAACAACAACAAAGCAGGCCTTTTAATGGTATTCACGGAATTCGAATTAAAGGAGCCTTTGTAGCACTGAGTGCGAATTGTACCAGTAAACAAGGCCAAAGGAGGTAGTTCGTTGTTGTAGGTTTTCGTTGTTGCTTACACTAATCCGCCAACCACGCCACATCAGCGGGTGTCACCCACGGCATGGTATTGACAACTACATCCGTGTTTATCCGCTTTCACCCATCAGATCAAGGTCATCCGTGACATATGCCATTGTTGACATTCTGACAGGTCACTCGCACTTTGGCTGACGCGATTAAAGCTGTCTGCACGAGCTCTGGTCATGTTCTTGCATTAGCATGGAGAGGTCGGTTCTAGCGTTAACAAGGGATCTGGTACCGTAACCTGGGTGGTTTTCTCTTGGTTACGGGCAAACGTAAAGGTAGTCTGTTACATACCTAGAATATTCTTCACAGAAATTTGACAATGAATTTGTTAAAAGTAACCGTAATCCGCTAACCACGCCACATCGGTGGATGAGTCACCCATGGCATCGTACTGACAACTACATCCGTGTTAATCCGCTTTCAAAGGTAATGCGCAACACGAGTTCCGAGTGGTACCAGGTAGGTGAGAGAACAAGGAGAAAGAGCAGAATAGAGCAAGGGGAACATCCAGAAGACGTACTTTTGACATACCACCAGGGAGTCTTCTCCGACTGCAAGCGGGCAGTGGAACTCGTCTGATGGACAATCACCCATCAGTCCGCCTTCAGCCTCAACTGAAATCAAGCAGCAGATAGCTAAGTGTGTACCTCGAGTAATACGGCACATTAGTTGGAAAAAAAACGCCCAAGATAATGCGCTTGAACTTGGGGAATCGGGGGATCGATTCATCATACGATAGCCTGGTTGGATAGAATAAGGGACTTCCACACACTTTGCTTGACAGAACTTACCCCTATAGAACGGAAGGTGAAGTGAACTGAGAATCTCCGAATAAACATTGGACAGGGTCTTGTATGTTTCCTTAGCATGTTCCACATCCAAATCGAAGGAGTACATATCTGCTCAACTTCAGTTCAGGAAGATAGCGTGATCTTACCTTGCATTAAAAATTCACGACAGCGAAGTAGACCTAGTTTAGGCTGGATTTCGTCGCGAAATTTTGAAGAGATCTGATACACCCGCAATGGCAAGGCGTTACTTCCTATACCCAACCCACTCACAAAGCTGCACACTTCCTCTTCATGAGTCTAAGGTGTGTTTGACGTACTAGGAGGGCTCATTTACTGGTTGGAGGCAGAATGATTTGCCAGTTCGATCGCTAAGGCGGAACATTTCGCCACCAAACTTATCCCATCTTCCAGACTGACTCCAGAGCTGAGAACTACCCAGAGTTGGGAAAATGCACTTCTGTCCGCCAACTTCGGCCATTTTGTAGTCAATGAAAGTGCAGAGTTTCTCTATGGCCCTCAATATCACCGGAGAGAAAACAAAAACTCCAGGGGAGGTAGGCGACAAGGCACCGATGTGTTGGAGGAGCTTTAAAGGGGCTGGAAAATATGGCAGTTCATACCTTGTGTGAGACAAGAGAGTGCTCCTTTTCGGACACGATAGGTGTGCCTTGACGCAAAAGTTTTGACAAAAATGTGAATCGGTGCATTTTGCACGGACTGAAATAAAACGCAAGCAAAATCCATCACATGAGTTTCGTGGATGAAAAGTTGGAATAATACACTTCACAGGTCATTTGGTACCCCCAACTGATTATTTTAGACAGAAGTAAGCATCACAAGTTCTAGACCAAAGCCACACTCATCGCCCCCATGAATCTCTGAACAGAACTGAGCTACCAAAATCTTTGGGTAAGAACGCGACACCAAGCACACAGCTCACACACGCACATACTTGTTAAAAATCAATTTTGTTATCTAAAAATTAACTTGTTAGTAATAGATGAATTAGTACGCAATTCAGGGATCGCTATGAGTCCACTTGAGGGTTGGGACTATACAATGCTGCTTTTAATTTGGAAGCAGCTCTTAAGAGATACAAGTACAGTATGCAACATTGAAATGATAAAGGGTGAGCTTGATTGAGGGCAAGGAAATAAACAGTTATCTACGAAGCAAAAGCAAACTTAGTTCCGGGAGCTATCGGCGACTGCAACCAATAAGCTGAACAGAAAGAGAACCGTAGCAACTATTTACTCTATTTTTGGGATTGCCACTGCATATTGTAACCTAGACATAAAATTGAATGGTTCCAGATGGCAAATAACATTCAAAAGGCGATGGGTACATGCACAAGGGTTCCGAAAATAGACCTACAGTTACTAAATGCATATTTGACCACACTTGAAAACGAAGAATATAACACATAAACCGCGAAATGGTAAAACAACCTCTGAATTTGGCGGGGAAACACTAATGCAGGGCCTTTTGAAGGCTAGCGAGGCAAGGGGATACGCGATTGCTTAGACCAATTTACACAAAAGTAGCACTTCCAAGAGACATGAAAGTACAAGTCTAAAATCCAATCCAGTGTTGCGTGAACGAATGAGACCACTAGCACGAAATACTTATAAACTAGCAAAACGATTCGGCGACGAATGTGACGAATCAAATTAATAAACCAAGTGCATGACCAATTATTCCATGCAAAATACTTAACGATTTTCGCAGGAAACTAAGGTAAAAGTTCTATCGAATGCGTTCTTTTATGTTAAACGCAAAACATATTATCGTACGAAATTATACGTTCGACCAACGCCAGCGTTTCCAATGTCCTTCAAAGATTGCCTATTTTGATTGGTTTAATGACAACTAATCAAGAATCAAATTTTCCTGTCACTTTGTAGTCATCGACATTGAGAGCGTTTTCGGCTGGTATGTTTGCAATGTTTTTCCTTCAGTTCGACTCTTCTATTTCTATGAAGTTAAGCAATATATACTCTTTTTTGTAAAGGTATTTGGGAGAAACTTTAGGCCTTCCTACTGACCTGGAAAATATTGCAAACAACAGTAGTAGTTATTATTTTGGTGTTAAATTACTTGTCCTGGTAACGCGTATCGTCTGAGTCAGGCATATTTGTCTTATTTTGTCTCATTCCACACAATAAAAGGCCTTTGCACTCAAGTAAACAAGTCTTTCGCCATATACCCACACTTTACGAATTGATTTAGTCTTCATTCTACCCCAATTGCCTTACAGCTTGATTACGTGAAGTCACCTTCATTGGCACCGTGTACATTGTGCACATTAGTTTCATGGGTCTAGTGGTTCGTTGAGCGTATACTTGGCGTTTTGAACGCAACGAATGCAGCTTGTCTACTTCGTAGTTTATTCTGTTGAATTTTCCACGTACGAGCATTGTACACTATTTCGGTCAAATAATATGGTATGCCGAACAACAAGCGTCCAGCGCATTTAATGTCATTTTTTCGATTTTTCCACATTCTTAGTACGTTCTCAGAATTAATCCATTTCATAAAGCTCCATTTCTATTGCATTTGTAGCCCACTAGCATGGGTAACGTTAGCGCGGTTGAACCAGAACGGCGCATGTTCTCATCCTACGGCTCCATTGGAAATTCCAGACAATGTCCCACATGCAGGGGCACTGGTGTTTATCATGAGAGTGCGTTAGTTATTATCTCTTCTTAAAACTTCAATCTTTTCCTCACCGCATATTCAGTGCCGATAAAGTGCCCTTAATATGAGCACTACCTGTTAATTTGTATGTCCTTCATTAATGATTAAATTGTTTTCTGTGCACTTAAACGGTGTCACCGAACTCTCCAATAAGGAGGCTTATTCTGGTTGCAACAAAATTGGTTGACCCCCCAGCTCCACCTATGTTCTGTGTTTGTAGAGGTCTTTTTTTGCAACTGATGCTTCTACTTTTGATGTGATTTTGATTTACAGAGAGAAGTTGTGTATGTGGATATACGAGTGTCAAACGAATGTGTCTTAAGAGTGTTGACAAGCTGGCCAACTTAGAGGCGCACTTTAAGCGCCTTCCTCTTCAGATACCAATTAGCTGCCTCTTGTAGTTGGCGAAGCTCATCCTTTGACAGGTCGTCGGTATAAGTTTCAAGCTCGCCATCTGATTTGGCCGCAGCATTCTGTTCTCCCCTTTCTCCCTCGTCTGCATTTCATCTCACTTCAGTAGTTAAGAGAACAACGAGTAGGATAGCAAATATCGAGATCGCTGCCATCTTCACTATATGCTCACCACTCCTCCCTAATTGACTTTGCTTACACTGCGCCTGGTACACAACATGTATCCTATATAGGCGTGGTCATTGTATGGTTTTTTGAGGGTAAAGTGTGTTGAAAAGTGAAGTATCAAAACAAAGCGGTCGTATTGGTGGCCTGACTAATCCAAACAGCTAAATATACCACGTTGGATGTAGTGTGCAATGAACTTCTATCTTTTATTTCCACGCCCTATAGGCTTTCTTCCAAGACTAATGTAAGCCTGACTGTTTTTTTAGTTAACTGATTGTGCACACTTGTTCGTCAAATGTAGCTGCATTGATATTGCACAGTGAGATTCCGTAATTGGTCAATTTTTTATTCGCAACTCATTTCGAACTTCCTGAGTCGTTTTGCAGAGTGTTCAAGATTTTTATGGACATCACTTTACCTTTAGTGCAAAATTGCTTTGTCCATGTCCAACTTCTTTGAAAATGTGTCCAAGTTCTCACTGGGACTGTCATTATTGACCATGTTTGCTAGTGAACTGAAAGTGAAGTCATTGCATTGTCAGCGTGACGCTGCTTCGGAATCAGTTCTGACAGAGTAAAGCGCATTCACCGAGGACGATACCTGCGTCGGTGTTAAGGGTATTTTGTTGTGGCGGCGTGAGCATCAGACAAAATGGTTGATTTGAAAATTTGTGCTTTCCTTTCGCGAAATCTGCATTTACCCTGCACAGTCTTTCTCGTTACAACGAATCCCAATACCTGTTGACATGTAAATAGTTAATTTGCGTATCTCCAGGCCTGCGGGCATTGCGAATGTCATTTACGCCGTGTGTTTCCTCCGTTGCTTGTTAGATGTGGATCCTTTGGGCAACGGTGGGGAGTACATCGCATTGATTCCACTCACCGACAATCGCCTACGGCCTCAACGCATCGCCGTGAAGATCTGCATCACGGTTCTCTTCTGTCTAGCCATCTCAGGTCTCCTTCTTTTCTTCCTTCTGCTGCGTTCAGTGGAACTGCAATCGAACCGCCCAATTCTGATGCCAACTCGCTCGGAAATACACGACGGTGTGGTTTTCCTAGACTTGTCGGTGAGTTTGCACATTTTTACTCTTATTATTAATTGGTAGATGTCTATGAATGCGTCGCGTTCCCGTTTTTCAGTATCCCTTCAACTTCACGAATCGGAACTACTTTCCAGTCCACGTGGAGCACGTCAGTCTGCTGTCTCTGTACCACTCGACAGTCATAAATGAGACACAAGAGGACATGGACTTGTGGATTCCGTACCGCGGCACGCAGGAACTCCACTTTAACCAAAGCCTTGCCTTTGATGAACCGATCTTCTCCAATTAGTTAGCCTCGTTATTTTGTTTATTTCCCTTCATCACTTTATGCTGAATTTGACTTGAACTGGTGATTATGTAGGCTTCGTAGGCGGTCTAAAACACTAGTAGCTATGGGAGTCCTCCTGGCCAGGATGTGGTACTTGATTGCAGGCAGAGAGTTGAAGCTTGAGCAGTCAAGCCTATGCCAAATCGTGCTTCCCTCAACCACACTGAGGAGTCCAGATGTGCATCTTAGTTTGCGGTCTCAACGAAAATGCAATCCCCTGCTGCCCTTGTGGTTGTAGTGTTGCTTATCCAACAATACCTAGGTGGACGCGAATCTTCCTTGGTGCCAACAGATTAGTCTTTTTCTATTATTCCGCTTGCACCAACACCACTACTACCGTCACCATTAATCGTGACATGTTCTGTCTGTTTGTGCCTTGCAGTCTCCCAAGGCTTTGCCTCAGCAACAACACTCAATTCAATCAAATCTACATTTCCTTCGGGTACGTCGACTTTATTGTGTTTGCTGTGTGGTTTTGATGCATGCATTGACCAAATTTCAGTTATATTGAAACCGCTCTTGGTGAGGTGTTCACTTCCACGCAGTAGAATCGTTTTAATCTGATCCATAAGGTCTTCACACGCTAGTTGCGTGACACGGTACAGTTTGATTCATTAAACAATTAGAACAAAAACTTGGTTTATTTATCTAGTCTGATTTATCAGATATTATGGTCAATTGAATTTGGATTCGGTATCGGATTTTCCCAAAGTGCACGCTTTGGCCGATCGCGCTAATTGGTAACTCCTGGCTCGTCAATCGGTAATCACAACCCCTCAATTCACTAACCTTCACTAGACTGGCTAGGTGTGCATCTGGTTGAGCTAATCGGTATTTTGGCATCGACGGCCTCTGAACTGCATTAATCATTGTAGACTAAATGTCAAAGCCCGCGCACTCGGCCAACGCATCGACTCTGTCCTGGACACATTTCAACTGGTCAGTTGTCACCCAGTGGGTTGAGTGTGATCTCACTGCCTGTCTATTCGCCGCAATCGCTTGATGCTCTCACCAGAACTGATTGTTATTGCATTTTCACATTTTTGTGATTTCATAATTTTTATTACCATCAAAAATGTACACTTTACTACTGTTTGTTGTTGAGGAAAGGAGGGTTGTTGTGTGGTAAAATCTGTCCAACTCCGTTTAAAATGCTTATTCCGCGCATGTATGGTTCCAACGACTATTCATGACCACTGACTTTGATCATTCAAGTCTCGTTTGGAGTTCCTCTAATCCGCTTAATCTGATTTTGCGTTTTGACCGGAAACTTCCTCCGCTTTCCAATTTCACTGCTGCGCAATCACGGCCGAACTGAAGCTAGTAGAATCGGCTCAGCGCGATTAGTTGGACACAACTGTTGTTTAAATTGTTCAATGTGCGATGGTTGACTGGCATGTCCTCGCATAAGTCTGAACACCCAACATTCCACTGCATTTGTCATCTCTACCATTACTGGCAATAGCTAAGCAAGCAGTCATGCCTGCTTTACATTGTGTTTGTGTGATCACGTCGAAGTTAAATCGCGTCTACACCTCTGGCGTCACGTATTGCAGTTAATTCTGACGTGACCGTGGCACGCCTTCGACCTGGATTCACCAAATGCGTCAGTTAAGGATCACCGATGTAAGCTGCCGTTGCGATCCGATCTGACAACATGTATTTAGAGATCAAAGGTGATAGAGTTCGCATATCTGCATTTGTATACAGCTTGTGGGTGAACACTGTAGAGCATGAATTTTTTGGTGTTAACACGTGCAGAGAGAATCTAAGATAAATACTGTGATTCATCGGAGTTAATGCGGTGGTGTGTGTGTGGGTGAATGAAGATGGGAATCGGATAAGCGTGAAATATGGCGATTATGCACAGTATTCAGCACGCGTCACTGCCGCAAAGGATGATGTGGAGGTACAACAGATTGTCCATATTCTGCCCCGCATGTTTCACTTTTGCTCAAAACCTTTATATTTAACATATGCTAGCCTCACCTAAACGTCTAAGACATTTGTAAGTTCGGCAAGATCAATGGTGTCTTAAGTACAGTTTCGTTTACAATGTCAGGAGCAGCGAATCAGTGAATTGACACAGACCGGATATCGATCTTCCGACGTGTGTGTCGTTCTGGATTTGCTGATACATGCTTGTGGCTGATGATCAACCTCTGTTGCCATAAGATGTGGTGGCGTGTTGCTATCGGCTTGGCTGCTTCATGCATTTAAAAGGCTGTTATCGAAAAGCCCTACATTTTGCGTGATTTCGCACAACAGCAATGAGGTAGATGCGCAGACGACATGAAACGCAGCACAGAGCGCGCATTCATGCGTTGTTTAAGTGGTCGAAATATGCGCATCATTGAGCGCTCAGTATGACCTCTTGCGATCAAAATTGGACTTCGTTTGTGGCGAGCAGCAAGCAAACACAGCAATCGTGAGCTAACGCTAGTAACAAGCGTGAGCGAAAATGATTCAATTGATTTACGTGAATGCGCCTCGCGTAACTGTGTTCGTTCAGAGATCGGTGTTTAGCCGATCCTATGTAAACTAACTAGCTCTCTTGCACATACACCTCGCTAGCGGTTTAATAAACTTATTGAGCTACTCGCCATCGGCATTTTTTTGACTCCTTCCGGTCAGGCCGTGTCTACGTAGATTGTAGGTCCTGGTGTGGTTTCCAAAACCGCACCGAGGCCCGCCACACATTAAACTCACCACTTTATGTCAAGTAATTCATCTCGTCTTCCCACGAAAATCAGAATTTTGCAACCTAAATTTGTCTACACTTATTCGAAAATATGCCTACTGTGATGCATTAGTAAGTGTGCTAGTTTTTTGCCAAAATAAGTTTTATATAAATGGCGCTTTGCTACAAAGAGAGAAAGTGCAATCAGGTAGTGAAGTGTTCGTGTGAGGCCAGGTTAGTTTAGTAAAAGCCGAGGAGGTATAAGAGATTCATTTCTCCCTAATGACGTTATTAGAAAAGACCTCCATAAATTCTCGCAACTCCTCGTGCGACTTTCTTATTAGATCCTCCAGAATCTGATCAAAGATTTCTTGCTGTTGCTTCTCACTCAGTTCAGCGAATTTGACGGTGCCTTGCCGTGCTCTCTCCCCTCTCTTTCGCCTCTAACCACCTACCTCCTGCCACAAGGCCCGTCTGGCTGTCTCCTTCACCTTGCCCAACTCCCCACTCAACATCTGGTCCAGAGTCTCGAGATACCGTTCAAGGAAATCCCGAAATTGTGTTACTGACAGTTTTTGAGACAGGATGGCGCTCAAGTCAATCCGAGACTGATCTGTTCTGCTCACCTATTCGTCCATGTTTTCGTGGAGACAAGTTATAAGAGTGTCAGCAAATTGAGGTCATTTTTTATCCTTACGGCTGTACACACGACCTAAAAACGAGCATGGATATTATTGGGGTGATTTCGTGGAGGTGATTATGTTTATGCTGTGGGCTCACAGTAGCCTCGGTGGTTAAGATAACAACGAGTAGGAGAGCAGATCACCGTTATCCTCATGATGCGCCCATCACTCCTCCCCAACCAATATGCTCTTCGCATAGTTCTCTCTAGGTAAGTGAGTAGGTGGGTGAAGCATGAAGTGTTGTAGCGAAACGAAGTGGGTTATCGGTCATGAGTATGTCAATCTGATTTGCGTAGACGTGCAAATCGTCAAGAGGAGTTGTGGCATGTTGCACTTTATTAACTTAAATGAATTAATGATTTGCTGCAATCCTACTCTTTCTAAAATCTATCATGGTCATCCACTTGAAAGCATGGCAAAAGGTTTATAATTAACTCAGATGTTTTCGCCCTCACTCTCAGCTTAAGCTAATTGCTGCTACGAGCCTAAATTTGTTTATAAATTCACAATGCTGCTAGTCGGCTGAGCAGACAAGTTCGCTAATTTACTTTTGCTCACACCGCGAGTTACGTCCTAGTTCCTGAACTTACAACAACCAACTTGTAAAATTTTAAACCGACATTTCTACATTGACAAGTCAGCACTTGCATCCTGTTTCACGTGACATACACCGCTTTCGCTGCTTCCAGCAAGCTGCTTGTGTAATTTATCGAGTCGGGTCTTTCTTTAAAATTCACGAGCAACGAGTCATTTATACCGACACCTCTTGTCGTATGGATTTCTACATTGGTAAATTTCACATGATGGAATTCAACAAATCGTTAGTTCCCTTAATGAAATCGTGCATCACTCAAATTCCCAGCCGACTCGGTCATAGAATATGCAGAAGCTCTTGATTTTCGAAAACACGCCTGCCCGCCAAATCCTAAAACCACAATAACACGCCCACCTCGAGTTTCGCCACAAATGAAAGTACAGTGTCTTGAAGGAACTAAGCGGAACCTACCGATATCTCTTGGCTTTCATCTGCTTTGATTGCTTAGCTCCAGCGACGCTATTGACAAAACACCAAACGCTTTTCATGTGATCCTGTTTTGGAAATCTGGTACGTTTTGTATGCAACCAAAAACAACCCTTAGATAAGTGGCACCCTTTTGGGGATCCACGATTCCCCAAGATTGGTTTCTGATGCTATTTACAGTTATTCACTAACATTTGTTTTGCTACACTTTGTATAAAGTCAAGGTCAACCTGACTTGAATTAGTTTCTCTTCCGTACTGCACGCCGCTCGTGGCTGACGTGAATACAGCTCTCTACACGAGCTCTGGTCTTGTTCTTGTATTAGCCTGGCAAGGTCGGTTCTAGCTTCAGCTAGGGATCTGGTACCATTATTTGAGTGGTTTCCTCTTGTTACGGGCAAACGTAACACACCTAAGATCCCTTGTCTGACGCTAGACCCCACCTTTCCACACTAATGCAAGTCAAGATAGCACCTCGTGCGGAGAGCTTTTACCATCTCAACCACAAGCCAAGTGATTTGTCAGAATATGCCCACATATTTAAGGCAAGAGTGGCCTTGATTAGATCTATCAAGGCAGATTAACATAGGTGAAGCTTACACCGGGGTGCCGTGTGTGACTCAATTACTTATGTAGCATGATTAGGGGAATTGAGTAAAAAATGATGACATTCTGACACACAATGTACCGTCTTGTTGAATGCTGAAACCTCAACAGTATCACTTGCTATGCTTCTACCGTTCCTTTTGTACAGTGTTCAGAATTCTATCAGGGGGCTCTGAGGGCTCAATATGCCACTCCATGAGCCACCCACACGAGCTCAAACTGTACCGGGTCATGAGATACTGTTTGCACGTACTTCTAAACGGAGATCGAGTGAGCAGCCATTTGATGCAGCAATTTAAAATTCTGCTTATGGCTATAATTCGAGATGAATTTTTTTCACTCCGTTAGATGACACCAACTGGTAGACATGAGCCAATTAGGCACTGCTTGAATGTCAAAAACCTTTAACCAGTTAACACATCTTCGGAATTCTTGTCACTTCATCGCCGCGTCAACGCGTCTTCATTCACAACGTGTAAACGTATAAAGGAGTTTGGCGAATCCACCTGCCTATTGATCTTACTGCGCGAGGCCGAGAGAAGTGAGCGGTGCATGCTTTCTTATCGCAAGTCGCGACACGCGCACCGTGTGTTGCTCCTAGTAGCAATCCCTGATTTCACGGCGACCCTGCTTGTTCTTTGTCTCTTGTGGTCTGTCTGGTTATCCCCAGCTGCAAATTCACTTTGTTGTTGGCCCCAGCATGTGGTCTTGAACCACGCCAGGGCCACGGAATTAACCCTGGCCCAGTTACGTTTCCATGGTACCCGCGATGAAGAAAAAGATCGGAGAGGACGCGGACACAACCGTTTACTTCAGAGCTCCTCCACTTTGGTGTCGTTGTGTCGTGTGTGGGGTTTGCGCGTGCGTATTTATACCTCGGATGCGTGAGTCAAAGATGCGCTAACATCACGACCTAGGTGTGGGGATACTCCAAGATAAATATTCGTGCTAATGAAGGGGGAGTTGAGGATTCGCGCGGCTGGCGACATGCTGCGAAAAGGGGAGCCCTGTGTAGGAGGTGGAGCGGCCGGATTAAGGGGTCGAATAAGCACGATTCACAACAACTTCTTGTCATTTGTACCGCGGGTCATCCAATCATCTCTCGAATTTCCCATTTGGATGTCTCAGTTCAATGCCAATATCCTGAATTCAACTTAGATTGTTGAACAAAGCTGAAATACCTTCGTTGATTAACCAGGTCAATCTTCGTAGAGTCCACAAGTAACCTTATCGAAATTACACCTGTTACGATTATTCACGCGGTTCAGCACTGAACGTCCGCGATTTCTCAATGGGCAATTTTGGCATAATTATCTTTATTCGGCGAGAACATGGGTGAATAGGCAGAAGAATCTTTGACATTCAGCGATTATATGAAGTGGCATGGTTTTTTATCCATCCACATCCTAAATACCTTCTCTGAATTAATTTACATCACAAAGCTTCATTTCTGTTTCATTTCTACTCCACTGGCATGGAGAACGTTAGCGCGGTTGAATCCGAACAGCATACGTCTTCATCCTACGTCTCCATTAGGAATTCCAGTCAATGTCACACATGTTTGTCATGAGAATACTTAGGCTGTTTTCGTGCCTAAGAGTTTGGACAGTTCAAACGCGAATGCTCCTGAATAGGCGATCGCCACACACCTCGTCATTTGGCCAATCTCTTGCGTTCTGTTCGACAACGTTTCATAGCTAGCATGTGACAGACTCGCATGCCAAGATGAACGTCGCTCGCCTGGCACGTGTAACAATCGCCTTTCCACTGCGCAAATGTGTAAAAAACATTAGATGTATCGCGTGTGATTTGTGTATATTACACTTCAGTGACTCTGGTTCATTTATAAATGTCGTGACAGTAAAGGAGTTTAATGAACGAAACCTGTCATCGTTTAGTTATTGAATTACCACACTGATTATTATTTTGAATTACACGACATCTCACACATGCATGTGCGCGTTAGAATTCTCCAATCATTTCATAGAATGGTTCTCATGTATCATCATCATCATCATCCTCATCATCATCATCATATTTTTCGTCTGACCTACCAATCCTTGTATTTGGCCATTCAATATTCCTACCTGATTAGTTTGAAAATTCAACTTATCAACAAATGTGTGCTATTAGATTTGCTCTCCAAAGAACCCAGATCCACAGTCTTGCCTGTTTCAACAAGTTGACTCGAACAACAACTCATTTGACAAGGTTGCTTAGCAAGTGATGTGTTTACTTTTGAAACACTAAAGAATTATAAAGTGAGGTTGCGCCTACAGAAATCAGATTGTCAAAAGAAGCCATGTGAAACCTGCTGTAATGCTGGCCACTATGGAAGCACACTTTGCAGCACTTCAAGCGCCTTCCCCTTCAGGTACCAACGAGCTGACTCTCGTAGCTTGCGAAGCTCGTCCTCCAACAGGCTGACGGCATGGTTTCCGAAGTCGACATCTGATTTGGATATAGTGATCTCTTCTTCGCTTCCTGTCTCGTCTTCAATCCTGTTCGCCTCAGCGGTTGAAAGAACAAGGAATAAAAGAGCAAGTATCGAGATCACCGTCATCCTCACCATGTGCTCACCTCTCCTCTCCCGCCACTCGATCTTGCTTATTTGCGCTTTGCATGCTACATGTATCGTATGCAAGCCAACGCATGGTGTGGTTTTGTGAGGTTAAGTGCGTAGATGTGTGAAGTATCAAGTGTTGTACCGAAACGAAGTTGGAAATCGATCATGGGTTTTTACCCTGCCGTGTATAGATGTTAAAAATTGTAAACTTAGGAAGGAGGTGTCGTGGATGATGTGAAAGTGGTTGTGTAGATGCCTCGACTAATTTAACTGAGGTGGCGATTGAATCACACCGGCTGTCGTGTGCAATGAACCGCTATTATGCGATACCATGTGTTATTCCTTAATAATAGCCTGATTTTTTAGGCCTGGCATGTAGCATCCAACTGTTTAAATTTTAAATTGAGACAATTACAAATGCAAGTTAGGCTTTTCATTCTCCAGCCTCTTCGTTACTAGTAGTCCGAAGACAGATGCTTTAACGCTGATTGTGAACGAAGATTAATGCGGACTTTGATGAAAAATAATTGCAGGAGATAAAATCGAGGTCAAGGTCGATGTCTATTTTTCATCCATAACTCATCATTAGTCATCTGAGTGGTCGAAAGTTTTATGTCCACCTCAGTATTTTAAATTTTTGACTCAAAATTGTTTTACAAGTGGTGTCAAGGTGTGTGAAATTGTAATGCGGGATCGCTTCAAATCGTTTTTCCATACCTGGTTTTTCGATCGTTAGTTGCAATTTGGCTTAAATAGGAAGGTGGCTTCGGAAAACCAGATACAAATGTCACATGTAATCGAAGTTCTGCTCACGGAAACCCAGTTTCGCTTGGTGGTCATTTCAACTACTGTCAGGTCGTCGTGCTCATGGACTCATGAATCAAATAGATAGCAGCTGACGCAATTGAAACACATGTTCAAATTCGTCAACGATGAGTCCAGCATCTCATATCGACTGGCATTATTGGGCATGTTTGCCACTGAACTAAAAGTGCAGTTATTACATTGCCAGAGTGACTCTGCCTAGGAATTAGTTATCGCAGAGTATAGTAGTTTCACTGTGGACGGTGGCATTGGGAGTAAATTGCTCTTGTAACACGGTGATGCGTCATTTAGCCTTCCATGAACCTGTGACAAAAAAGACGATCTGTAAATTTGTACATGCATTCGGATTAAGCACATTTATCCTAAACCGCGTTTCTCGTTGAAGTGCTTTCTGATATCAATAGCCGCGAAAATGGAATTACCATCAGCACGTACAATTAATTGTGCTGATGGTAATTCCATTTTCATGTTGTTGACTGTCAATTATTTGAATGTGTTGTGTACATTTTTTAGTATTCATTCAATTTCACCAAACCGATTTACTTTCTAGTCCACGTAAAGCACGTCTGTCTGCCGTCCACGCACCTCTAGACAGTCAAATGAGAAACCGATGGAGAACTCGTGGACTCCTTACCGTGGTAAGCGGTAAGCACACATTAACCCAAGCCTTGCCTTTGATAAGAACTACCTTCTCTACTTCGTCAGCATCATTAATTACATTCGCGATGCTGCCATTGTGAGGAAGTGCTTCATGCTAAACGTCTCTAGTAGTGGTGACCAATGAGGCGGCAAAAAAGTTGTTTAGCGATGTATGCGTGCCGAAATAGTATTAGTAGGTTTAGTTAAGACGAGAATTTGAATCACATTGTTTACACTGAGGACTGTGGATGCATGTTGTTGTCATGGGCTTTGACCATCACAATCACAGCCAGTTTTGATGTAAATAGGAAGGTGAGGAAGCTATCAACTAGGCGCCGTCCCGGTGATTTCTTTTTCTAACGTAGTTTATTGATTTGCTTGTCGGTAATGAAAGTCAATCCTTGTTGCTGCTGTTGTTGCATCTTTGACCTGAGAGCAATACCGAATTCGGTCATCAATAACTTAGCTTCGGGTACGCGATTGCATTGCTTATTTGCTTGGGTGCGTGCAAGTGTCAAATCAGCCTTCATCCTGAAATGACTTTCGGTGAAGCGTTTATTTTCACGCAAAGGGGTCATTTGGAACTGAGCCACTAAACCTACACACCTGTGTACTACGACACGGGACGTAGTGTTGGCAGTTTTCTTTGGACGTGACTTGTACAGTTTGACTCAGTAAACACTCAAAAAACAAGTTGGGGCATTTATCTAGTTGGATTTAGCAGGTATTCGCACAAATTCAAATCGGGTTCAGTAATGCCATTTCTCGAATTGTACAATCTGCCCGACTGCGCAAATAAGCACCCCCTGACTCTCAACTCGTTTATTACGGTCCATTACAACACCGAGCTCTACTAGATTGCTTACGTGTACATTGCGTTGAGCTAATCGTAATCTGTTGGATAATGACTGAACTGAACACGACCAAATTTTTTACCTCATTGATCATTTTAGGCTGCGTGTCAAAGCCAAAGAACCGACTCTGTCCTGGACATATTTCCGCTGATCAATTGCCACCCAGTCGGTTGAATGTGATCATGCTGCCTACCTATTCACCACAATTGCTAGGTGCTCTCACTAGAACCGACTTTATCGCATTTGCACATTGTTGCGATTTCATCATTTTTTACCAGCAAAATGCCCAATTTATTGCTGTTTCTTTCAAGTGAGAAGATGCTCAGTGTGTAAACAACTCTTTTTGGCGTAGTTTAAATGTCGCAACGTGGTGGGTCATGTTGGCGCAGCAATTTCCACAAAAGGCATGAAGATGTCCAGACTGTGGTCTGCCGTAATTGGCCGACGTTCGAATTGGTGGTTCATGTGTTCTTACAAATCAGTGAATGCACTCGCAGCATGGGCGTTTCCCGATGGCATTTGTGAAGCAAACCTCTGAGGAGACAGGATGCCCACCCGCCCACTTTCATCACACAGCAGTCTGTTTATGTAATCGTGAATTGTGCGTGACGTCCATGACATGCGAAAGCATTTGCCGTACTTGAACATCGGAACTGTGTCTTCTAAGTGTGTGGTATTGGGGGGGGGGGGCTTATGGAATAGGTGAAGGATGTGTCTGTAGTTGTGGCCTGCAGATTTAGGAGGTGCTGGCTTGTGGTAAACCGTGTGGTGAGTTTGGTCAGATCACCTCATGGACTGCAGTTCGCCTTGACACCGTGTTTCTACCGGATTCGGTTACTCGAGTCTCGTATCGTGCTGCACTGATGGGACCAACTCAACCAATTACAAGCATGCGAAATGAAAGCGTTCACGGTGTTTTCATTGTCCTCTGAATCTGTTTGAAAAGCTCGATCAGAGAATCAATTCGCTTCCAAATGTCCGAGTCTGTCTTATGTGTTAGACTAGACACAAACGAAGTCCCTACAACAGCGGTGAAATTTTCCGAAGTGCCATGGTTAGTGTGGAGGATACTGATTCTGCATTGATCATATCTCACCACACTAGAAGTAAAAAAAGACAAAAATTCACTTGATTAGTCAAATCTGCCTTTCTTTACTTCCCTTACGAGTAATAACGCGACGATAAATGATAGGTGCTTATGTGGCAATCGAAGTCCGACTCTCATGCCAACTACTAATTGAGGTTGTTTGATCATATAAATGTTCAACCTCGTTTGCCATCTCTGACATCGCGTATTACGGATATTGCCCACATGACTTGGCCGCATGTTCTAAGCGATCGCACGATATCCGTTGGTGCTGCATAGAGTGACTTGAAGATCCATCAGGTTGTTCATAATCTGCCTCCACCACAATCGCTGATTCAGAAATGCCCACAGCGTGTCAGATGTACTGCTTTGTTCAGCATATCTGCATTTGAGGACATCTGCTTGTGGCAGAAGACCGACTTTAATTATGCCAATGTGTTATCTGTCACACCAACTGCGTGCAATAGTGGAATAAATTAAACAAATAGAACTTAAAAAACAGTGTGGAGTTGGTGACATTGTTGAGCAAACATCGCCTGCTCAAAATTCTTACAAACAACATCGTTTTGGTGCCTAATAAACGATGTCTTGTGATCTCAAACCAGCAGCATGGCGTGACACCGATTCGGTATGTACCACTTGTAAATATAGTTCTTCCTAATGTGAACACATTGTGCTGTTATCATGAAAATGATAGTGACTATGACTACCCCAATGTTTACGCGTTTGGATTATCAGTAATGTGGGAAAATCAAATCTTCTTGAGTAATTGATCTCAAAGTGATCCTATTCTCAGGCAAACCAGCACTTCAGAAACTACACTCATCTCTATTTGTCGCCCAATGTTCTACATTGTTGTGTCAGTGCTTGAAGACATCCCTAAGCAAAGAAATCATTTGTTCTGACAACGGTGCTTTATTAAAGAGAAAAGAAGTGCAGGCAGATATTGAACCATTCACGTAAGACCAGATTAGACCACTCACAAGCCAATGAATTGTAGGGGACTCATTCCGCCTGTGTTGCCGTAATCGAGAAACTTTTTCTTCGCGTCACGCAATTCCTCCAGCGACTCTCTGTTCACGTCCTCCAGAATCTGATCAAAGATTTCTTGCTGTTGATTCTCACTCAAGTCAGCGAATTTGACAGTGCCTTGCCGTGCTCCCTCCCCTCTCTTTCGCCGTTCACTACCTGCTTCCTTTCTCAAGGCCCGTCTGGTTGCCTTCTTCACCTTACCCAACTCCCCAATCAACATCTTGTCGAGAGTCTCGAGATAGCGCTTGAAGTAATCTCGGCGTTGTGTATCTGAGAGTTTCTGAGACAGGATGGCGTTTATGTCATTCAGGGTCTTCTCTGCTCTCCTCGACCATTCCTCCACGACGTCGTCGGAGTAAGTCAACAGTGAGTCATCGGATTGTGGCCATTCGTCATCCCCACGGCTGTACACACGACCTGGAAACGAGAATGGTTGTTATGGAGAGGTGATTACCTTTGTGCTGCAGGCTCACAACGGCCTCAGTGATTAAGAGAACAATGAGTAGGAAAGCAGATATCGGCATTCTCGTCATCTTCACCATGTGCTTACCTCTCATCCCCAACCAATCGACGTTGCTTATATGCGCTTGGCATGCTACATGTATCGAATAAAAGCGTGCACATTGTACTGCTAAGTGAAGCTAAGTGCGTATATGAGTGAAGTATCAAGTGATGTAGCGGCAATAAGTGGGATATCGGTCATGAGTGTGTCACCCAAGTTTGTGAATACCTGTAAATCGCAAAAGGGAGTGAAATGATGTCACAGATAGGTAGGACTGATCATGCTGCTTTCACCGCTTCATCATATATGATGCGCAATGATTCAAACTGAAGGCATTTTGTGATGGACCGGTATTCTCCGGTCTCATCATCCATCCCGTAACAAAGTGGTACGAAGGATGAGTTCTGTGGGTGGATTTGTGTGTGTCCGAGCGCCTAGTTTAGAGTCGTGTTTCGCTTTACCCACATTAATGAGCGATTTGAATGACGCCGTGTTCAACACTAACCCAAACCACTTTCAACGTCATATCCCCAACTGCCAAATTTATATAAAGTTTACATGCTCACTTGACTATCCCACAGTCCATCAAACAAAGATCTCAATTGTACTTGTGCTCAATCTAAAAACTCCTCCTCATACTCTCATGCATGCTTGAATGCGTTAAACTCGAATGGCGACATCAAAATATTGTGATCTACGTCGTCCTGCATAATGCTTGTGTAATTAGTAGAATTTGTCTCTTGTTCAATGAGGTCAACCATCGAGTCTTTTGAATTGAAATCTCTCCCTCCGTACTGACTGGAATCCTGCCGCAAATTTGATGGATCTCACGCTAAGGCCCTATTTGTCATCGCCACCAGTCTGCACGCGATGTAACAGCTCGACAATTCGCTTGTAGAATCATGAGGTTGTTGGCAATCCATGTCGTCATATCCCTCATCGAGACAACCTACCTGGTACACATTAGGCAAGCATAACCTCTTGAGATTTCCTCGCATTAATCGGCATTGTTTGCCCAGCCCTTGCGACGCCACTCACCATACACCATACGCCTTGCATGTCATTCTCAATTTAGCATCCTTTCGTCTTCCCCCTTCAACCAATTTTTAATATTCCACGTGTCACCACCTAGGGCTGTCAGCCCATTCTGCCATTCCTCTCCCATTTACACCACACACTGTTAAATCATTTCCATCCAACATCTGGATTTGATTCGGCAGCTTAACAATTTGCTAAAATTGCAGGCGCACATTTCTACATTGTCAAGGCATCACCTGCATCCTGTCTCACGCGTGACACAAACCACTTTCGCTGCTTTCAGCACTCTGCTTATAAAGGTTTGGTCACTTGGAACTTCTTTCAAAGGAAAAGTCAACGAGACACTGACATCTGCATCTCCCGTTTTATGGTTTCCACAATGCATCATTTCACAAATTGGTCCTTCCACCATGGAAACCGATCCACACTCAAAGTAATTACTTGCCGGTTTGCCTCACCTGAAGTCTACTATACAGGAGAATATCCTGGCTGTCCCTCGCGCCTGTCTTCCAATTCCACAACCATAATTACATGGCCATCGCGAGTTTTGCGTCAAAATGTACCTCATCTGTACGGAAGTATGTGGATTTCTTGCAATCATAACCTGCCACGAACAAAACACCAATCGATTTGCATGCGGTTCCTTCATAGGCAACAATTACTCTCCCTGTTGCATCAATTGCTTCATTTCCAATGTTTCGTGAGTTTGCTCGTGTATCCATTCTGACACTCCATGCAGCATTTGCAACAACTCAAACTGCGGTTAGTCATGCTAATAACGCACTTCCAGGCTGTTTGAATGCTTCTTCAAATTCAGTTCGTGGGCACAACCAATAAATGCCAACTTTTGGAAGTCTGTTTATAGTTCCCAATCACTTGGAAACGTCCTACGAATCTAGAAGTTGTTAAATGCCAGATAGCATTAATTCAGGAGAACCATCGTCTAACAAGTCCCATGCCATTTCCGTGTCAGCTCAACTCTTATGCAATCATGCGCAATTTGCAAGATAAGCTAGCACATCCACCCTTTATTAAACCCGAGTCACTGAACGCATATCGACATTTCAACGCATCAGATGCCCATTCCAGGATGCAGTGTGCGTTAACCGCCCTTTTAACATACGCAAATTGCAAATTGTATTTTTGGTGGCGCACAAATAAATACTATCTAATAAAGCACTTATGCGCTATTCGGGTGGATTTGTCAGTGTGTGTGATCCTTGGTTTATGGACGGTCA